CAAGATCGGCAAAAAAAAATCGAGATCGGCAGGGAAAGTTGCCTAAGGATCGGTGATCGTTGATCGGCCAGAAAACTGCAATCGGTGCACCCCTAGTCTGAATGTTCTCATTCATCACTCCTTTGCCTCCTCTCTCTGTTTCACTGCGGAAAACACCAACATTGATGCAGCCTTCCACAGCTTGGTGGAGAACATTCTGGCTAAACTGCAGAGCCCTGCTGACCCATTAGACCAGGACCTGCAGGTCTGCCCCAGGTTTGCCAGCAGCACCAATCAGGCAGGTTTGTCAGGCTGTCGCCTGACCCGGGCTTAAGCAAACAATACAACGATAAAGGCAGGGTTTGGAGAGGATTGTTTTTCAATGGTCTGTGTGGGAAGATGCATGTTACAAATATCCCCCACCCAGACAAGCCTGCACAGTGCATTGATTTCTGAGAGTGAGCTCTGAACTTATAACGCTGATGTCCATCTGCATGCAGAATTATATCATATATGATTAAGAGGCTCCACATCCATCGACACCTGAAAGGAGAGATGGTTCACTGTGGAAACAGTGACATGATAAATATATGCAGATGTTATGGACCTAATCAAGGCCTAGTTAATGCAGGCTGATGAACCAGCATTCCGAGTAGCAACTTACAGCACAGCAGTACAGAGGCAGACTGAACATCTCTGTTCAGGTGGGCTGTCTGTCCAAATTAGATAGATCACGAAAAATGTGACTATTTTGTGTCTAGCTGGAGTGGTATGTTGTCTTCTTTGTTGCTGTTTCCCAAAAATAGAAAAAGCGAGATTTAAAGGAAGAGAATGGTCAGTAGACAATATCTTTTGATAAGAAACAAGTCATTAAGAGAACAGAATATAGAAAAAAATGGTGATACAATTATGTTACAATAAGACATGTAATAATATATTGCAAATATCTAGTTCATGAGATGTGTGACTTACTGACAAGGGGCATCACTGCCAGTGTGTATCGTTGAGTGCTATAACAGTCCCCAACGCAGAAACGTGCTTTACGTTAAATATATCTCACATATCACGGATCTTCATTTGTACCTTCCTTAATCAGACCCCAGGAAGGCACTGTCTATATGACTGAAGACTGAGAGTTTAAGAAATTAGCAGTTTTGTTTGCTTGCGGTCTCCCCATTGGATATTTTTAGCCACCTCGGAGGCTCTATATCTATAAACTGCAGGGGGGGCTTTTTCATTTGCGTCAATAATTACTAACGCCGTATTGCTGTGTCCCGACGCTTGATGCACTTGCTTATAATTTCATGTCTCACTGTTGTCGCAAACTAAAAATATCACTTTCCAAAGAATTAAATATGATTTCTCTTATATCTCATGACTAAAATAAATATGTACTTGCAGTTAAGTAACAAATGAAGGCAAATAAACATGAGGAGGCATGTTATGTTATGCATGTATGTAGAAAAAACTCATTCAAGTATTCTGGAATTTTATCCCAGCATTCTTTATGGTATATATACACATAAAAATTGAATTTAATTGTTTAAAATTCCTATCGCCTATAATTCTCTGATATGTACGGAAGAGCATTAGGTTAGGAGATTCTAATGTTCTTCAGTAGATATGTAATGTACTTTTCTGCCTTAAATAATGTAGCCTACTTACACACAGTGAAGTGGTCTTTTCTTGAATACTAATGCGGAGTGTGTTTTGTCTTATTAGTAGCATTTGCAGTATATTCCATGCTCATGCTATTGGTGTTGTAATCAATATGTGTAATTACGCAATTATACAATCAGTAAACGTAAAAGCAGTTTCTGCTTGACTCGGTGCTGTCGATATGTTGCGCATGACATTTTGTCCTACTGGAAAGCCATACAAATATCAGATGTCGTCGTTGGTTGAGCTGTTGCTGTCTATTCATCAACGCGAATAAACACAAGTAGTTTTTGCTCTGTCTGAAACTCGGAGTCGTGTTGGAATCACATTATTAACACGCAGCTTATTGCAGTGTTCACGGCAGGTTACTTTTCTTTTATTATGTGGATATTTCAGGCACTTTGATAAATAAACACTTATTTCCAAGCTTCTGAAATTACATGAGCCACAGTGTTATTAACATGGCTATCTTATACATATACTGTACTATTAAAACAAACCATCCTGTCTAAAGCTAAAATTATATTAGCATGCACTACGCCTCCTAGTGGTTATTAATACACAAATACACATTTCACACACACACACACACACCACAGTAATTAAATACAGTAATGCTCAAACAGTCCAAAACACCAACAGCGAGGATGCATCATATAAGTACCAACAGTAAGAATGATTAGTTGGCTTTAGAGATTGCACAAGACATTTATCTACAAGGCATTTTTATTGTTTTATGGCGTATGTATAATTTTTTTCAGTCATGAAATTGAGAATGGACACAACTCCCACGCCGTCTGAAAGGTGAACACGTTTCTTTATCACTCTAAGAACCCAGGAGTGTGACTTCCGTTGCCAAGGGCTACTGGTGCTTACAGTTTCTATGGATACTCATGTCAGGCCTCGTGAAACCACTAGATGGGGCTGTCTTATTGCTTTCCGCATTTATTTAAGCCCTGTACTGTCTTGCAGTGAAGGTTTATTTCGAACGATTTCAGTATATGATACAATATGTTCTGGTACATTTATCTATAACCATACATGCTATCATTTAACACGTGTAAAATGCTGCCTATTTTAGTAAATTGGCGTGTTTCTTCGTTCAAAAGTGGTATAAGAATACCACTATAAAGGGTCGGGAGTTAAAAAGATCATTTGTACAGGAGAAACAATATTTTATAAAACCGGTTCTGACAAGTCATTACTTCCTCTTCTGGAGGGATTCTGACTGAGTGCTTAGGAATGTGCGTAGGTCTATGTCTAAACCTATTGTTAACTGCTTGGTTTGAAGGCGTAATCGGGACTGTGCTCCTTTCTTCTCTTCTCCAAAAACCGTATTTATCATTGGACTTGCAGAATTACTTTTCTGTACACACATTTCCTTTAAGAAGCACATACAGGACAGAACCCATTCTTTCCTAAACAGTTTTATTTTCGTATAGTACCATACTTGCATCTGACATATTACGTTTTCAGGGTTGCCAACTTTGGTCACCTGGCTGGGGTGAGATTAATTCGAGACAAGTATGCACACACATGCAATTACACGCACGTACATGCATGTAACAAGTTTTATTACCTTGTAAATCCTTTGTATGGTTTGCAAACTACTCCAACGCTTTTGATGCAGCTAATTTTAGGTTTATAATGGAATAATATAGATTTGCCGTAAGATATCTTGCATGCGCGTGACAGTCTGAAAGCGTGAGAGTTGGTAACCCTCATTTTTGTGGAAAAGGGTATTCAAGAGGTAAAATGAAATCGCTTTATAACTTTCACACGTTAACTGTTCACATATGAAACGACCAAGGTACACAACGTTCTCTGTTTAAATAGCCAAAACCAGACTCTGGTGCAGAAAGATTTAATAATGAATTTGCAATGCAATACAATCACAGACACACATGCCTGTTAATGACAGTCGTCTTTACAGGGAGTGCAGAATTATTAGGCAAGTTGTATTTTTGAGGAATAATTTTATTATTGAACAACAACCATGTTCTCAATGAACCCAAAAAACTCATTAATATCAAAGCTGAATATTTTTGGAAGTAGTTTTTAGTTTGTTTTTAGTTTTAGCTATTTTAGGGGGATATCTGTGTGTGCAGGTGACTATTACTGTGCATAATTATTAGGCAACTTAACAAAAAACAAATATATACCCATTTCAATTATTTATTTTTACCAGTGAAACCAATATAACATCTCCACATTCACAAATATACATTTCTGACATTTCAAAACAAAAACAAATCAGTGACCAATATAGCCACCTTTCTTTGCAAGGACACTCAAAAGCCTGCCATCCATGGATTCTGTCAGTGTTTTGATCTGTTCACCATCAACATTGCGTGCAGCAGCAACCACAGCCTCCCAGACACTGTTCAGAGAGGTGTACTGTTTTCCCTCCTTGTAAGTCTCACATTTGATGATGGACCACAGGTTCTCAATGCGGTTCAGATCAGGTGAACAAGGAGGCCATGTCATTAGTTTTTCTTCTTTTATACCCTTTCTTGCCAGCCACGCTGTGGAGTACTTGGACGCGTGTGATGTAGCATTGTCCTGCATGAAAATCATGTTTTTCTTGAAGGATGCAGACTTCTTCCTGTACCACTGCTTGAAGAAGGTGTCTTCCAGAAACTGCCAGTAGGACTGGGAGTTGAGCTTGACTCCATCCTCAACCCGAAAAGGCCTCACAAGCTCATCTTTGATGATACCAGCCCAAACCAGTACTCCACCTCCACCTTGCTGGCGTCTGAGTCGGACTGGAGCTCTCTGCCCTTTACCAATCCAGCCACGGGCCCATCCATCTGGCCCATCAAGACTCACTCTCATTTCATCAGTCCATAAAACCTTAGAAAAATCAGTCTTGAGATATTTCTTGGCCCAGTCTTGACGTTTCAGCTTGTGTGTCTTGTTCAGTGGTGGTCGTCTTTCAGCCTTTCTTACCTTGGCCATGTCTCTGAGTATTGCACACCTTGTGCTTTTGGGCACTCCAGTGATGTTGCAGCTCTGAAATATGGCCAAACTGGTGGCAAGTGGCATCTTGGCAGCTGCACGCTTGACTTTTCTCAGTTCATGGGCAGTTATTTTGCGCCTTGGTTTTTCCACACGCTTCTTGCAACCCTGTTGACTATTTTGAATGAAACGCTTGATTGTTCGATGATCACGCTTCAGAAGCTTTGCAATTTTAAGAGTGCTGCATCCCTCTGCAAGATATCTCACTATTTTTGACTTTTCTGAGCCTGTCAAGTCCTTCTTTTGACCCATTTTGCCAAAGGAAAGGAAGTTGCCTAATAATTATGCACACCTGATATAGGGTGTTGATGTCATTAGACCACACCCCTTCTCATTACAGAGATGCACATCACCTAATATGCTTAATTGGTAGTAGGCTTTCGAGCCTATATAGCTTGGAGTAAGACAACATGCATAAAGAGGATGATGTGGACAAAATACTCATTTGCCTAATAATTCTGCACTCCCTGTATGCACACTCTACACTGTCAGGAACTGAACAAGAAGCTGCAATGCAACGAATTAAGTGGGAGCGGGATGGAAATGTCACAGTCCAAAGCCAAATTAGCCAGACACTTCCCGCATCCAAGGGAGCAGGTTTGTCAAATATTAGCAGCTATAATAAAAGGCGACAAAATTCAAGCGTCACATTCGCGTCAAGGCGAGTAAAGTGGAAAATCAGGTATAATGTATAGGCTGGCGCAATTTGGTCTGATTAAACCAGATTCTTGGGGTCTCTTTTCGCCTGGACCGCCAAGCACAAAATATAGCTGTTAATGATAACATTCCCACCTTGCTCCCCCCCCCCCATCACCACCACCACCACCACCACCGAGACCTGATCAACCCCTCCCCCGATATGGTCACCCGATTCCTGCGGAGCCATTTTGTCTAGAGTAATACACTATTACACACCGGAATAACGAGAAGCAGAGAAACGAGGAAACGGGGGGGAGGTAGAAGAACCGAAACGGCTAAACAATGAACAGCTGACGGCCGAGAATTACTAGTTCCTTATATATTTAAAAAAAAAAAAAAAAAGCTTCATGTTCCCTGCCCTGATATCGGAGAGGCGGTGGCACTCATGTGAACGATAGCCTCTTATCGCAGCCAGCTCTCAGCTCCCCATCATGTGTCACCCTGAACGCCGGGACAGCGGTGTGTGAAAAAAAACGACCACACAGCTTCGCAGCCGTTTTACGTTTTTTCCTCAGACGTGCGCGAGACAGCCGGCTGGCTAGCATGCTAACGCGGGAGATGTAGTTGGCAGCTCGCTTTCGCTCCCTGTGCTATATCTGCTCGTTTCGCCTGGCACTTTGACCGGAGAGCACCGACGGACACCTTGACAGCTCGCCAGCCCGTTCGGGTGGTAGTTACTCCTCATTAATCTGCGCCGGCGAGGGGGTTGGGGGGGTTTGGCTGCCGCTTCTGTTCGGCATTCAGCCTCGGGGCCGCTTATCCCCGGTGTCTCGCGAAGCTAGCCGGCTTGTCAGTGAGGGTGATCTTTATTTTGTGAAAAGGCTAGCCGTTTAACAAGTGCAGGATAACTCGGCGAGGCTAACCAGCTAGCGGCGTCTGGTCCTGCCTGCTCTCCCCGTGCCGCCCTCCTCTCGCTTTTTGTTCCCCGGGACTTATAAAGAAAGAGAGGGACCTCCACCCCCTAACAGCACCACCGCCCCCCTCCTTCCGGCTGCGCCTGTTAGGGAATCCAGCCTGAGCGAGACTTCACTGCGTTAGCCGGCCTGCCAGCGTGCCGAAGCAGGACGGACGATGTCGGGACAGTCCATCACGGATCGCATCGCGGCGGCTCAGCACAGCATGACCGGCTCCGCCGTCAGCAAAGCCGTATGCAAGGCCACGACGCACGAAGTCAGCGGGCCCAAGAGGAAGCACCTCGACTGTGAGTATCTCCCGGCTAGGGTGTCACATTAAACTATTTTTCTTTTGTTTTGAAATATCATTATACCCCGTCTTTTGACTCCAGTAGTCCCAAGTACAGTACATCGATATCCAGTGTGATAAATGCGCATAGTAACACTGTCTGGACGTTTTCATGAATAAATGATTATTTTTTTCTTCATCGATAATCCTCGCCAAAATGATAGATCATTTGAATCGCTCCGGCACCCTGAGCTGGATGTGGCCGGGTCAGATCCAAACGGTCCAGACCTTGGTGAGCTGCTGCTCAGGGCAGCTGCCTTTGGGAGAGGGTGTAGCTTTTCCACGTTTTTTTTTTTTTTTTTTTTCTTTTTACATTCCACCCCAATTTCTGTATGCTAGGTATGCGGCACTCGGCATCCGAACCGGCGGTCTTGTTTAGATAGTCGCCTGGTTAGTGCTGCTGACAGCTGTGGTGCTCATTCATCCCATTAACACCGACCTTCCGTGACGGATCTCCGCTTTGCCTTGTCCGCGGCATCTCGGCTGCTACACCGATGCCATTTCAAAATGTTTATTACAATACCGTACATAAGAATGTGTATATCACATTAAAGTTACAAATAAATCCCAGCTTTGTCTTGATCAGGAGTTGATGGTGATTTAACATATGATTTTTTTGCGTTAATTCCGGACCCTATTCTGAACGATTATTGTTTGCTTGTTTTAAATAACTCTCCTAAAATCAGCGCTAATATTCAACGAATGCCTGGCAACTGCTGTCATTTAATACAGTAAAATTATTTACATCAGCTACTCGGCTGTTTGTTTTTTATTAGGCACCAAACCGCTTAAATACGAATCGGACGTTGTCTGCAAGGTCTCTCAAAACGCTTAATTAGGATCCCCAAAGACTCAGTACACTATCGGTTTTCAATCTAGTGTTTTTAGAACAGCCACAATACGTGTGACTGTCTTTAATGTGATGATAAATCAGATCATCTTAATGTTCGGGTTTAAAAGTACAGAACACTTTAGCTTCGTAAGCTCCTGTGGGCTTTCTGTGACGACTGAATAATTTAATACACATAGCCAGTATGCTGCCTCCAGCTACACACTTACCCTTTAAGGTAACCAGCTAAGTGTCACTCTGGTTGGGGTCTCTGATATTCTAAAAAGATGCATATAACTATAGAGTGGCGGAGTTCCTGGCAGCCAGAATGAACCCCAGTTACTTCCACGGTGACTTTGCAGTGTGATACTGCTGGAATGATTAGGCTGTCATACCAGACCTTATCATAACTGCTTTGGGACACCCAGGCCTAATGAGAGCGATGGATAGTACTGATGCCTTTTGTTTCTTAAGGATAACAAACGTCTTAGTATGCTGTCAGACAATGATAAGTGTTCTTAAATTATGAAAACCTGATAGTGGTAAATGAAAAAGCAATTGTTTAGTGACGAACGTTTTGAAGTCAGAGTTTTGTTCATTATTTTGGGTCCGTTTTATTTCTCACTTTCTGTAAAGGTGAGTCTGGAATACCAGAGGCATGTTCGGCCGGATTAGAGTAATGAATTTGGGTGGAACGTGTCCATTCCTATTAGCATACCTCTGCGTGGCGATCTGATACAATCCTGGCCCGCTCTGCTGTCTCTGCACGGCACTGACATTTAAAGGTTGGGCCCTGTAACGTTTCTGAAGTGTTGTCATGGAGCTCAGTAAGCACTAGGCAGCTGCTTAGAACAGTTGGCACACAGCATTATTTTCCAGATTGTGCTGAAGCGGCCCTGGTTACTTGTTACGATAAACCTGTGAATTTAGTGCCAGCGCTGGGGAGGAATGAGCCTGCTTAAGATTGCCAACAGGGTTATATTTGTCTGGCACTGTTCACGGGTTTCCTCTTTGGTTCCACACCCCAAGTATGAGTGTTTATCACTTATTGTACTGCGAAAATGTAATATTCCATAAGCCAGAGAGGACAGTGAAACGACACACAGACTCCCTGGTGTGGATCCCAAGACCCTGAGGAGCCAAACCACTGAATGAATATTAAGACAGATGTTAATGGTTTGAGAATAAAACATACCAAGATGGTACTTGACTGTGGTACTTAAACAGCTTCTGCTATATATTTCATCCTTTCCTGTTATACATTCTTGATCATAGGTAGCTTGAATAGAAATCTGTCCTTGTACTCTTAAGTTGTACGTTCAAATTCCAGGATGGGCTTAGCTGGAATTTCCTTGGCCAAGAATGTTACTGGGGCAGTTTGGGTTTCAAGAAAAATCCAACAGTAGAAAAAGGTAGCAATAGTCTCCCTGGATGCAAACACTGGCTAAACAAATAAGTGCAGAGAGCTGCAGTTTAGCCTCTTACTGTAGGTATGTAAAGAGATGTGTGTGTGTGTGTGTTTGTTTGTTACGGATTCACAGTGTAGGAACAGCTAATAAGTTCATACTTGTGCTGATGAAACAGTAGCTCCAGTCTTCATATGCAGTCATTGCGCTGAACGGTCACTTGTCCGTCTTGTCCAATATGGTGGGCCCAGGAGTGTCTCCACTCCAGCTACCAGATGTTCACAGTTCCTTTGTGAAAATTTTTAAATATAATGTTTCTGGGGGTTTATTGCGGTTTGTTTTCTGCTGCCGTGTTCCTGCAGGGACTCTTGTCTTGTGTCCTTATGTGTCTGCTCAATAAACCCAGCGTGTCTGTGGATTTTGCTGAACATAACTTGAGCTTATCAAGCTCTTAATTAGCGATTGGCATCACCGCTGCTCAGAGTGTACTTGTACACGTGCGTATAATCTGTGTGTTTGCACCAATCTGATGTCCTCATCTGTACTCCTCTTATTATGAAGATATATGCGCATCTTGAATTGCTACCCTGGCTTTTCTACATCCATAAAATAGAGATTTTAACATCTTTCATAAGCAGTGCCACTGTATGTCAATTGCAGCCTATGGATGCTGATTTTTGTCCGTCCTCCTTGTCCGCCGACGTCATTCGCTCTTATCTGAAAGTCGGCACGAATGACACCTGCCCACTAAATAAATAACTGTAAACATCACAGCTTTTTGTAATGCTGTAAGAACTTGCAGACCTTTCAGACGCATCCGAGATTGACTCTCTGCCCAGCACTCGTGCTGCCGGTGGCCTTAGCTGAACCCGGTGCGTCAGCTGTGGAGCGCTCGTCACTGATGTCCCTTTGGGGGTGAGGGTGGACCTTAAATTAAATTTCAGTTATTTATTTATTTTTAAAGCGATCCTCTTGGCGAGCCGCCGACTCACCGAGCACCTTTCGGAATGCTCTCCCCTCCACCACCAGCATTTGATCTGCTACCATTGCGCAGCAAGGCTGTCAGTGGCTGGCCGCCTCCGTTCCCCTGCCCTCCCAGCTCCTCCTGGTTGTTTGACGTCAGGAGTCCAAAGATGAGAATGACGTGCATTTTCCCTGCCGGTCCTGACAAAGAGGCGTGGGGATGTTCCTCGGCAAACCAGCATGTCTATTTTTGTCTCATTCCACAAGTGACTGATCAAATTGTCTCTTGATATTTTGCATTTTTCCCCCAGTCACATTCAAAGTGGCTGAGGTGACTGGTGATGGATGTTTTTCTTCTTTTTTTTTTTTTTTTTTGGGGTGGGGGGGTTATTCAGGGGTCACTTGTTATGTTGGTGGCTTTGGACCGAGCCTCCCTTTTCCCCTTTTTTATGTGTTGTGCTTCCATATTGGGGTCTCCTGGGTTGTTCTGGCTTACACATGGCCTGGGTGGCTGACTGATGGAAAGCCTCATGCGTCTGACTGACCATGTATGTGTAAAGGTCATGTGACAGACTGACTTCCTGTCATGCGCCACCCAGGCCCTGTTCTTCCCGGCCCAGCCTCCTAATTGCAATGAGCTGCTGTTGCAAATGGATGAATTGATATGTGCTTTATTTTTGCTGACTGCTCTAGTTATTCTCTTTCCTACAAATGATAGGTGTCTATTTCAGGAGTTTGTGTATTTTGTTTAGATGCTTTTGTGACTTGTAGACAGGTTCCTACCCATGCAGTCGGCTGTTTTAGTGATGTTTGCTGGGTTAAGCATCTTGATTATTGTACCAGTGAGCTTGTTGTATGTTGGCACCAGCAATGCTCTCACTTGTGGTTTTTTCAGATCTGTGGATGATACTGGAGACAAATTCCCCATTGACCCTGGAGCTGGGTGTTTCCCTGGTGAAGGCTGACTAGCCTACCAGTGAGGGGGTCATGGTGGTGGGGGTTGAGCTGGATGCTGCGGTTTGGGTCATGCTCCAGTACCCTCGCAAGCTTCTGTGCGTCTTTTGGCATTTTAACATGCGGCATACCAGTGTGTATGTGAATCTCTGCTGGTGTGGAGATGTTCTGACCTTGATTCATGTTATATTACAACAGTGTAATAAGTTGACCTTTTAACAGCATATAACGTTAACAGTGAAGAAAGAGAGCAATGAGAATAATTAGCTCTGCGTATGTGTGGGTGAGATGTGTATTTTTGGCTTGTTAGAAGTTGTGAAAAATGTAATTTTCCTCCCTGCAAAACTGCTGAAACAGCCCATTTTGGCTGTAATTGTAGGCTTTCAGATAGAAAAGGAACGTGGATCCCTGATTTATGGGCCTGGGTGATATGGTAACGTGCTGGGGGGGTCGGGGGTCTGTTCCAAACCGGCTCACATACGCTAGGTCTACAGCTGGATGTTTCACTGAAATTACATGTTTTAGAGGGGATTCCACTTTAAAATGGTATCATGTGCCGCTTGAATTTAGAACTGATGAGCTGACCAAAAGGACCAGAAAACTTTTCCATCTATATGGGTAGCAGGGAGATACTTGGTGTGATGGCTGATAATCAGTGATTTGTCACGTATCATTTGTAAGATTACTGCAAAAATGTTATATTTGAGTTGTCACATTTTGCATTTTTTGCCAAAACTGCAGTCTGTGGAAAACACATAAAACACAATTAGTGGCACAGCAGTGTGTCCATTTCCATTGCAACTGGAAGGAGCTGCAGCTTTAAGTTTGAGATGCACATTCTCTGTCCTGGAGGGCGAATCCTCTGTGTAAATCCAAAGCTCATGCTGATTATTAACCATTGGCTCCTCAGTGTCCAAGCTTGTAACCAGCTACTGTAACTGCATTTTCAGTGAACATCCATGTTACGAGCTGGATTAGCTTGCCTATGCTTTAATGTAATGTGAAAATGATGTTAGGAAGATTGATGAAGTTGTATAGGTTGCCATCGATATGCTGAGTTAAGGGCTCCCTGCACTTGTGTTTTAATATGCTTTACATGCAGTAGTATTACCAAAATCACCATTGCATACCTGAGTTGGGAGTTATAATGGTCTTTCTGTGAATTAATAGGTTAATCAAAGCTGAATTCCTGTATTGTGGTAATCTACATTCAGAGTGCAGCCCCCCCAAGCCCCTGTGCTCTGGGTTTTGGTTGTCCATGAGTCTGTAGTGCTGCAAGGAACCGATTGACACAGCAATTCGTCCTGGGACTGGCTCACTGCTATGCTCTGTGGGCGGGTTCTCGGGCCTGACGTCCGTATGACTGGACGGTGACACCATATGTGTTGAATGTGTTAGCTATATTTGTTTAATTGTTCTTTATGACGGTAACAGCTCACAGCAGTGTGGCTGGTATCTCCGCCTTGTCTAGTGAGGGTAAACCAGCAGGCTGATTTATTCATCCAACATGGTTTCTCCCCCACACCCCAGGCTTAATGGAGGAATCCATAACAATCAAGCACCTAATAAGAAAATCTTTAACAGGTAGATTTCAACGTTAACCAGAAGCTGGGGGTGCTGTTAGACTGTGTATCATTCGGCCTCGTTCAGTCTGTCCCAGCAGGGCATCACCGCACTGTGTGAAAGGCTTTTATCATGGAATGGAGACTGCTGATTCAGGGTTGACGATGCTCCAGTGACGTATGGCTCAGCTCATAACAGTGTGTACCTGGGTCCCCTGTTGTCATTTCCGTCGTTCCAGTCCTGTCACATATATAGGCCACAGAAAGGCAGCGTTCCAGGGAGTCGGGCAACTAGGCGATATTAGCAACTCTCTTCACGGGCGATTAAACTCCAGTCCCGGCATCGAGTCTCCGAGTGGCAGTGACGGCCTGGCTGTCCTCGCTGTGACCCAGCTTATAGGACATGTCCGTTCATACATGTGAAAGGGAACGCTGGGTTCTTTCCAGGAGCGAAATGCCACAGAGCTGTATAAATGTTTGCTTAGGGAAACTAGGATCAGCAGGGCTTGTACCACACATTGACTTTCTTATCAGTCGTGTGTTGACCCATGTGCTCATGGGATGGAGCTGCAATAGAAAAGCTTCATAAAAAAATAAGTAGCTTTGAGGGGGCTATAGGTTAATGTGTGTGTTTGTGTCTGTGACAGACCTGATCCACTGCACCAGTGAGATGAACGTGAACATCCCCCAGATGGCCGACACAGTCTTCGAGAGGACAGCCAACAGCAGCTGGGTTGTGGTGTTCAAGGCCCTCATCACAACCCATCACCTCATGATGTACGGCAACGAGGTGAGGCCTGCGAACCGCATCCCCCCTCCCCACATGCACAGTATAATCAGCTCGGCACGCGAAGGAACACAGACTTATGACAGTGGCGGTGAGAGAGAGTTTTTGAGAGCAGGTGGGCAGCCAATGGTACATCAGTGCTGCCTCACGCAAAGACTCTCCCAGTCCTGAGCAGTGAAGATAAAGCTGGACCTCTGTGAGGGGGTGGTCGGCGGCCCCACCCACCCCACCATCAGACAAGCATGTGGGCACCCTCACTCACAGACACACCCCCCCATAAGAATGACTGGCTTCAGGTTCGAGGTGTCCTGTTACACTTGGTCCGATACTGTTCTGCTTGTTCCAGATGCTTCCCGGTTCCCTTTATTTAAAGAAGCGTTTTCTGTAGCCCTCTTCAAAGTGTCCCGTAATAGCTCCCATTTCTGGCCCTGTATTTTTAAACAGTTCTTTCAGTTGGCTGATAGTGTTTCAGTGCAGCTCCCTGAATCTCCATCACTGTGCTTGTGATGTCCAGTCTTTCCTGGTTTCATGGACCAGGAACATTAGGAACTGGGTTGTATTTTTTTGGCTGGTTCTGGAGCAGAGTTAGATGTGAAGGTTGTACACGGGGCTTCACCATGTAGTTGACAGGTCCGATGAGGACACCGTGGAAATCTAATGCACCGCTTCCCTATGATTCGGCTGCTAACTCCTCCCCCTCTGAGACATGCCTGGTGCTGTTTGCATTCTGAAAGGTGAACGCAGTGTTTCCCAGCATGCAGCGGGGCGGCCTCAGCACTCCTCGAGGCACGCCATCTCTGTGTCCGCGACTAGTCTACCTGCCGCTTGGCTGCCTGGCTCCGTGCCGCCTTCTGCCCTGAAGAAAGGCCATACCTCTCCCAGCTGTTTGTCAGAGATCTGTTTCTGAAAGATTAATGATGTTGCTGCAGCCTCTGGTTTTTCTCTTTTTCTTTTTTTGCCTTCCCTGCAACCCAGACAGTTGTTCTTCCCTGTGTCTCACCAAATGTGAGGCTGTGGTCTTGGGCTCCCTCCCAAGCGCCAACCCAACTTGCTCTGCTCAGTTCAGTTCTATGAACTTTCTTTATCATTCCCCTTGGACCCTAACCTCCCTGTATTGGCATTAGTTAGTGATCTCACTTGGTCATGTAACCTCTGCTTCTTATGGCTTAACTAGAAATTGCTCTAATTACAACCCTGTACATCAAAGAGACATGAATGTCGCTAATATTGTCGTACATGCTTTTCCCGAAAGAGGACTAGTGCAGGCGTTCATGGAACCTTTAATGGAGTGTTTGCTCTTTAAGTGGAGTTTGTTACTGTATTGATTTTTTTTTTCTTCACCTGGCTGATACTTTGGTCCAGCTTGTTTTCTGCCACTGATAGACAGTTAGTTTAAGCAACTGTAACATCAGATCACCTGTTGGCTCCAAATGGGGGAGAGGTCAGTGCAGGCTGGGGTGGTCACATGCCCACAGTGTCCACAAAGGATCCAGGAGCTCTAACCCTCTGGACCTGGCTGGTTTATGTAGGTTACTAGTTTTTCTAGATCTTCACCTGTGATCCTGTTTCTCCTATTTGGACATCCTGCAATATCCCTGGCTGTTCTTCCTCTCCCTCGGTCGTGTGACTCTATCCTTTGCAGCAGTCCACCTTGTCCTCTAAGTTGGCACGTGATATTACCACACAAAACCCACCTACTCCTGTCCAGAGATGTCCGTGGTTGCGTGACCGTTCAGCTGATGACGCCATTCCCAAGTCTTGGGCCATGCTGCTGTCCGTCACGCGCTGTCCTTCTTTTCCAGAGGTTCATCCAGTACCTGGCCTCGCGAAACACGCTCTTCAACCTGAACAACTTCATAGATAAAGGGGCCTTGCAAGGTAGAGGCTCGTTTCGTCACACTTCACCTTGAACATTGTTAGGCTTCGAGAGAGCGCCATCCAAGACCCCCCTAACCCTCTATCCTGCCCCAGGCTATGACATGTCCACCTTCATCCGACGCTACAGCCGGTACCTGAACGAGAAAGCGCTCTCCTACAGGCTGGTGGCGGTGGATTTCACCAAGATGAAGAGGGGGTAAGGGGCCTGAAGGTCTGCCCAGCCGGGGGCTTGCGTGAGCCCCCACTCACAGTCTTCTTTAAGTGTGGGGTTGGTATGGTTGGTCTCAAATTGGGGCACTTTCAGCACTATGATGGCAAATAGTAGTGAAAACATCTGGGCTTGAACATCACCTGAAGGGCATCCACATCTCTCTCTCTCTCTCTCTCACACACACACACACACACACACACACACACACACACACACACACACACACACTGCTTTTTCTCCACCTGCATGGTACAGAGAGGCCAACGGCAAGAATGCTTTTTTTTTTTTTTTTTCTTCCACATTCCCTTATCGTTTTGGGGGATGCCCACGTTGGGCAATATGGGGGCCCTGACTCTGCTCCGTCTGCCTCCCCGACAGCGTGGATGGAGTGATGCGCACCATGAACACGGAGAAGCTGATGAAGACCCTCCCCATCATCCAGAACCAGCTGGATGCCCTGCTGGACTTCCAGGTAGTGGCAGTGGCCCGACGCGGGCGTGTCTGCGCTCGCACGGCTCCGGCGTGGCTCAGCGTGCATCCGTCTGTCCGCCTGCCTGCATGGGATTTGATGCATTTCACTGTCTTGTGGGGGCATGTTGCCTGATCTTGTTCTTCCTGCGTTTTTGTAGTTTCGGAATTATGGTGAATAGGGTTTCAATGGGAATTTCCTGTAAACGTAGCTATCCGTGTATTTCTATCCCTGACAGGAAATGTTTTGTGTGTGTGTGTTTTAGATACATGATGAAGCTCTCACCTTTTTCCCATAGGCCAACCCCAATGAGTTGACCAACGGCGTGATCAACGCCGCTTTCGTACTCCTCTTCAAGGACTCAATCCGCTTGTTCGCTGCCTACAACGAGGGCGTCATTAACCTGCTGGGTAGGAAGGCTCCCCTTTCAGGCGCACGGGTGTGCATATGTGTTTGGGGTGTGTGGGGAATGGCTTCCTTATTTCTGGCTCTTCTGGTTGTCTTCCCTCAGAGAAATACTTTGATATGAAGAAGAACCAGTGTAAAGACGCCCTGGACATTTATAAGAGGTTCCTACTCAGGATGACCAAGCTGTCCGAGTTCCTCAAAGTGGCAGAGGTACAGTCTGACCCATTTTCTTCCCGGAGCGGAGTTCCCATACAGGACTGGTGCAGGACTGCCCCCTCCCTCACGGCCTGAACCCATGTGCACAATAGGGACCAATCCAAACCCAGTCTGGCTCTCCTCAAACCTGGGGCCCAATATCACTCAGTACGTTTACATGCACACTAAGAAAATCGAATTAATGTGTTAGTCCGACTAAAACCAGACTTTAAAAGTACATATAAACATGACATTGCACTAAATTGAATTTCGCTTAGTCGGACTAAGACACCCAGATAATGCGATTGCGAGTCAATTTACTCCTGCATGTATACGATCAATCAGACTGAAACCGGCCGCGGCGCTTTGCACATGCTCCATATTTCCACCCCCCTGGGCTTTGACCCGGAAGTAGCAGAAGAAGCTGGTATACAGGAGAAGCTTGGAGCGTAGCAGAGGACGTACTGCACGTTTGAAATATACAACGCTGTAAAGCTGTCCAATTTACGGCTTAAATAAAGGGCGCTTTTCCACTGCACCAGGTACCGTACTTTTGGTACATCACAGCACGAAGCAGGGTATTTTGTACCAAAAAATCAAAAAATGGCTGTAGTAGGACTGGAGGACATGTGATATTAATACCAACATCGCATGTTATGTATATCCAATGCTTACATCGCTAGTCAGCTCGATTAAGATCAGGCTTTTTCTACCTTCACTTCAGTATGGATATTATAGCGCAGGGAGTTTCCGTTTCACTGAAACATTTTTACTCTATCATAGGAAAAAAAAACCTAGCAAGTTTTGCAATTTTAATGATTATTCCTTTTCAAGATCATCTAGTATGTTTAAAAATCAGTTTAAAGTTTACTTCCGCTGCTTTTGCATGAGCTTGCCAGCATGTTCTCTGAGACGATTGTAATCATTTTCATCATAGTTGTTTAAATCACTCCTAGACGGGTTCCTGAGAAATTTATGTTGAATTCCATTTTTTGTTTCATAAATACCCCAATATTTATCACAACAAAATCACACTGCAATATTTGAAAAAATTCCAATACCGTGCTGCCATAGTATATTATACAAAATACTTAATTTCTTATGCTACCCTGTACTTGTATCTGTTCTTCCATCCAGATCACAATTAAAGCTTGTGTCACTTCATTTGTCCACGCATCCATTACAATTACAATTAAAAAATTTTTACGTCTGTGATGAAATAGGTCAACCGGAATAGCTCAAGCCCAATATGAACAAGCTGAAAGGAGCCATATTGCCACCTATCATAGCGGAGCCAAACATACGTCGATCAATAAATCGATTCCCCTCCCGTGCATGTATACTGGGACAAGGACAGTAGTCCGATTAAATGGCATAGTGGATCTATAACCGTAACTGGACTTAGCTGTGCATGTAAACATACTGACCGTGTGTATGTGTGTGTGTATGTGTGTGTGTGACTTAACTGAGTGTTTTTTTTTGTCCCTATTGGGGGTCTTATTGAGATGCAGCAGAGTGATCTTTGTGTGAAAATCTGAGAAGGTCGCTGTTTGATACATAGTGAGGTTCTTACAGCTATTTCTGGAGCACCTTTTGTCGAGTCTCTTGCCGCCTCCTGGTCCCTGTGGGGGGGCTGCAGGTGCCGCAGATGATCGCTCGCATCCTGCTCGGTGATTCACTGCTTGCCTGAACAAAAGACAGGCTTGTTCTTTCATTATTTTTTTTTTTTTAAGTTTAAAATTACCTCTATTCTGGGAATTTCCCTGACGGAGCAGCTGATATTTAACCCCCCGCCCCACAGGCCAATAAGGCAGACGGCTGTCTGGGCCTTCACCTTCACCACAGGAATCACAGCCTCCCATAGAGGCCTCTGTTAACTCTCTGCGCCGGTGGGCTGCAGCTATTTGCTGAACCAGCACTCTGATACATTCATGTGGTTTGAGTTCTTATAACTGGGTCAGTCACCTCACTTAAGGGAACAGCAGGTCATTATCCATATGAGCCCCCCCCCCAATACCAGTGCTTATGTCACTTAGTGTGGCAGACTGCCCCCTTGAGTCCAGAGCCCCGGGTCACATGACCGTGAGCCCAGTGCTACACCAGTCCCGGCCACGTACCACGCGGCCTTGTGTGTCGTGTGTGTGAGCATGTCAGTACGCTGCCCCTGTTTCTGTTGTTGTTGTTGTTGTTGTTGTTGTTGTTTTTTTGTTTGTTTGTTTACAGTCACCGCATGAAGTAACGACCCTTTTTTTTGTTGTATTTTTTTTCTTTATTTCTCCCCTTTTTTCTTTTCTTTACTTGTGGTTCTGTGCTGTTTTTTGTTTTTCGTTTTGGTTTCCGTTCGCCCTTCTTGTGACACAGCAAGTTGGAATTGATCAGGGTGACATCCCCGATCTGACGCAGGTCAGTGCGCCTCCCCATCGCCGCCCCCCCTCCACGTGGCCCAGCTGGCGCCGCTCTCACTTTCTGCTCAACTATTCCTCTGACACTTTCTCTGGATTTTGGTGGGGTGCGTCTCTCACCCCCTGGTGCCCGGTCCGTCTCTTTCGGTGTGGCCGGTGGGCACCTGTTGCACGTTAACGTGTCGAGTCACCCGTGCAGCCCTTTGGGCTCACGCAGCTTAGCACGCAGTTAGTATGGTCACATGACTGCCGTGTATCTCTGCAGTGTGGAGACCCTACACCATTAGCCGCTTATTGTGAGTTACATGCAGCCACAGGGACAGCAGGAGACAGATTCCATTTCCGTCTTTTATTTCCTCTCAGTTTCTTCTTTTCTGGCTTATTTTATGTCATATTTTTGCATTTGCTGGTATGTTTGATTTAATTTTTTCCCCTCTACCTTAGAAGGTAAGCACATCATAGGTTATATGCTCTCATGGATAAGGAGTACCTATCCTTACCTCCTGGTTCTTAGTGGGTTAGGGGCCCGACACTGGGGGAGAAACATCCACATCTGTGTGAGAAACAGACCCCCCCCCCCATCGACATCTGTGTGACGATGTTTACACGGCAAAGGAAAAGGTTTGAACAATTTTGCATCAGTTGGTCAGACCTCATAATACAGAAGAATCCAATCTGTGGTATATGGCTTTAGGCTGTGAGGTCACACAGGGTAGTATGTGTCCAGCGTGGAGTTCTGTCCTGGGCCTTCAGATCCATATACGGGATCATTCTTTTAGAACCATGTTGTCAGCGTGATTCATACAGGAGTTGCTTTCATAGTTTTATCCACGTCACATGAGAGAGTGCATGGAAGGCTTGGTTTTATTGGCCAGGTCGTGACAGGCCCCACCCATTTTGGACCAGTACCTGCTGTGGCATCGTTTCTACCCTGGTGTCGGGGCCCCTCGCACGGCCATGCACGCCTACAGGGACACCTAGTTTTCCAAAGTGCCAGCTCACGCCTGGCAGCCTCAACTGCCTCCTTGACCCTCCGCGCGGCGGCCAACTTCTGCCCCCTTTGAAGGTCGCCCCAGGGAATAGACGATTATGCTGTGTGAGCTGGGCCACTCTGAGGGTGTAGCTGCTGGCTAATAGTATTTGACAGTCCTTGATTTTTAACTGCATAATTTTAGTCTAGGAGGATTTATTAAAGAGGGACTGGCTGCCCCACCTCCTCCCCTGACTCCGCAGGGCACTATCCAATCACGTGTGCTACACCCCACCCCCCTTCTCTCGCTCTGACCTCATTTGGCTCCTCCCCCTCACTTCTGTATTGTATACAGTTTTCCCATGAGGCTGTTAAGGTGATGCTATTCTGCTCATATGATGCAGGGGCTTTGGAAAGCAGTGTCTGAAGGGTGCAGATGGAGCGTGCATGTGTGCGTGTGCTTGTGCATGCGTGTGTGCTGACTCCCTCTCCTTCCTCAGGCCCCCAACAGCCTCTTGGAGGCCCTTGAGCAGCACCTAGCCTCTCTGGAGGGGAAGAAGATAAAGGAGTTCACCGCAGCCAGCAGGTAGAGGCATGGAAATGGCCGCGATGTGTGTCTCGGTGACACAGCTGGAGATAGGGTCCAGTGTCACCTGGGGAACCCTGTCATCAGCGTCTGCCGTGTCCCCCGCAGGGCCTCCACCCTGTCCACCGCCGTGTCCTCGCTGTCCAGCACCGGCATGTCCTTCAGCCGTGTGGACGAGAAGGAAAAGCAGCAGGCGCTGGAAGAGGAGCAGGCCAGGCTGCAGGCCCTCAAGGTGGGTGTGGCCGCTTCATCCCTTTCCGACACACACACCCTCGCCAGGGCTATCTCGGGCCATTGGAGGCCATCGGGCTGTGTGTGAGAGTTGGTGACGGCCAGGCCGGTGTATGCAGTCGGTGCTGTTTTGGCTAATTCAGCATGTGGAATTGGCCGTGAAGCTTTTCGGTGAAAATGAGCGCTCTGTTCGGGCTGTATGTCAACCTTCACCTCTTGTGTCAAATTTTCACGATCGACGAGAGCCAGTCATTCGTTGGCCTTGGTTGCTGCTAGTGTTTCGCCGTTGTCCTGGTGTGTTCCAGCTTTAGACATAAGTCAGAGGAACGCAAGCCTTGTATGGGCCAGTGTTTTAATTTGATCATTAGCTGGTGTCCCCCTTCCACCTCCCCAGGACCAGCGGCTGAAGGAGATTCGCATGCAGACCTCCCCCAGCTCACAGTCTGTAGGCACCACCAACAACCACAGTGCTGCCATGGATCTCTTCTCCACCTCCACACCTACCACCAACTGGTATACTCTGGGTGTAGTGGGGGGAGTCAGTTTTGGGACAGAGCCAGTGCCGCTCCCGTCGGAGATGTGGTGTCAATGCCCGGCTGACGGCCACTCCCTCACCCACAGCGGTCCAGACCTCACTAGCGACCTGTTCGATCTGCAGCCAGCCTTCATCCCGGCAATACAGAGCACCCCGTCCATCTCTGCCATGCCCAGCAATGCCTGGGGAGGTGAGTGGCCCTCAGCGGCTCCCGCACCCACGTCTCTCTCCCCTCAGATCACCTGATTCAGGCTTCCATCATTCCTCCTTTCCTGTTTACGGGTCACAGACGTGTCCTTGTGATCCTGTTACTAAATGGAGTCACTGCTGACACTGATTCACGCACGGTGTGAAGCCTGACGGCACTCGATTTCCGATCTGGACATCTGTGGTGCTTCCTGGGTGTTAACACGGTGTGTGTGTGTGTCAGCTGTCAGCCTGCTGCACAGTTGTTGCGGACCACGGCTTGGGGACAGGCTTTGGCAGGGAGGAGTCTTTCTGATAGGTGGAGGTGTGCAGTCATGTGATCTCCCATGTGACCCACAGTGTACCTGCTCTGTCCCCCAGGTCTGGAGACCCTCCCTGTCCAGCAGACTGCTCCCAAGCCTGCCATCAGTGTAGATTTTGATGCTGTTTTCTGGACTAGTGAGGCCAATAATGACGTGGAGCCTGCTGCTGGTAAAAGTTAATTAATGGATATATGATGAAACCCAGAGAGCAGCCTGGGTGCCCTCCGCCCCCAGTGCACACTGCTGGCTCTAGGGGGCGTCGTCCTGCACCCGCTGTCTCTTCATGCTGCCGCTTGCTCCCGCCAAGGCCCATAGATGGAGAATCCGAGCCTCTGCTGGCCTGCATCTATCTGTGCTTTTTGGGTGCTGTTGTGGGGGGGGGGGGTTGACCTCTCAATCTCGCTCCTTTCTCTCTCACTGCCATTGTGCAGGAAGTGACACAGCACTCTGCCTTTACCCTCTGACTGGGGGTTTCTAATGGGCTTTTGGCTACTCTGCTCTCAGCTCTAATGGTCTCTGAGGTGCTGGCCTGTTTGTCTCTCGTGGTTGTACTTGTCCATTGTGTGGAAATAACCCCCCCCCCCCCGGTGGTGTCCTGTAGGTGATTTACTGAAGCCCACACTGCCCTCGCAGAACCAGGCTCCCATGATGCCGCTGTACACGGGAGGCAAGCTGCTACCGAGTGACCTGGACTCCTCCCTGGCCAGCCTCGTGGGCAGTAAGTGCCTCCTCCCTCCATGTGTTAGCCGTGGCTAATGCTAACACGCGCGTGGCGGCTTTTTATCGCTGGCCCTCAGCTCCGCTCTTCCCGCTGTCTCCCGCAGATCTGCACTTTGGAGGATCCTCAGCCAAAAAGTGAGACACCAATCCCTGCCTGTTCTTTGTAGTTTCGGTTCCGGAGGGGCACAAGGGGGTTAAGGTGTGGGTGTACCTGCTTACACGCTCTGCTGACTGCCTCTGTCTGCCCCCCCCCCCCCCCCCCCCCAGGCCGGACATGCAGTGGACCCATCCGGGCGAGAAGAAGCTCACCGGGGGCACCGGATGGCAGTCGAAGGCCCTGGGCGGCCACGCCTCCACGGCCTGGGCCCCCACGCCCATGGCACCTGCGCCTGTGCCCCTGGCCCACATGGTGATTGCTCCCCTACTTGCTACAAGTCTGTAAACTCCGTAATCCACAGAGACTCAAACGACTTGCTCACCAGGCGCCTGGTGTCAGTTTGAAAAAGAAAGTCTCATTCTAGCCTGTTATAGATAACTGGGAGAGATATCTAAGCAGTTCAGGTTAATCAGCATGTGTAGCTACGCGTGACAGTCAAGCGTGTCTATGCCCGTGGGAACGCAATGCTCTCGCCACCAATCAGGCGTCTGTCACACCGTCGCCTGGCGCGGCGTGTTGATAAAGGGATAAAGATGGCTGTTCGTGTCTGAACACGCCGTAAGGCTTCTCTGTCACTAAGTCACTAACCCCGTGCTTCCTCCTCCCCTGCTGCTTTGCTCCGCTTCTCCCTTTTCCCTTCACTTGCTTCCCTTCCTATCTGTTCATCTCTCTCTCTCTCTCTCTCACTTGCTCCTAACCCCGCAGAATGGAATGTTCTATGCTGGTTACGTAAGTACACCATCAAATAGTTGTGTAGCAATGCTAGAGATGTCACTTCCTGTGGGGCCTATTTGGCACAGCGGCCCGTCTTGCACCGGCTGCATTCCGGACGAGTCATGCGGGCTCTAGATGTACATCTTCGTGTTTTGCCGCCCTGCTGGCAGGGCACCTGATTTGACTCTGCCCTGACTCCCTGACTCTGGGGACCAGCTTCCTCATGTTTGCTCATGTTTTGCCGCTGCCTGTCTCTGTTTGCCGGGCCTGATTAATCTGCACCTTTCTGCTCTTGTCTGCATGCTTCTCAGCAAGTCTGAGCTTTTCTCAGATTCTCCTTGCATGTTTGTGGCTGACAAGATGGCAAACTGCCTTTCAGCCTCGTCTGTGAGCCTTTGCGTTTGTGGTTAAAGCTTGTACACTAAAGGTGGCCGTATACTTCGGTCGAAATTATTGCCGTCAGTGTCGTTTTGGCAATATGACATCGTATGAGCGGTAAATCACCATGGCAGCCACCATTTCTGCACTCCACCTGTGCACAATCATTTATCCTGATCACAGCCACTGTCCAGATTGGCTGATGGTCAGTAGGTGATGGCACATGTGCAATATTCACCAGGGCTTTAGATGTCAGGCGTAAACATTTGCTCAGATGCCGGCTTTTTGGCACTATACGGACGTTTACTTACACAGACAATTTGGTAAGAAGATTAATAGTGCACCTAAAATATTAATGAGTGGCGTATTGTGGTGCCCAAAAGTTAGTAATCTGTATCAATTTGTTGTGTCCTTATGTTTAATAAACGTGTCAGACTTTACTTAAAAAAGTACCGATGTCTTGTTTACCTACAATACCGCCTCTTTCTGAAGATGTCGTGGCTGCTGAGTCCCTTTCTTCACCGGCACTTCAGTGCTTCTCGCTTGTGTGATTTACCAAAACAGTAGCACGTTGCACACCACGCTAACCGAATTTAATAAACACAAGGATATGCCGAATTTATGCAGACTACTAAATTTTGGGTGTCACAATAATCATTAATCATTAATGTTTTAGATGCACTACTGATCTACATTCCAAATCGAGGGCACAAGTTAACATCCGTATAGTACTGAAAATCCGGCGTCCCGACAAACGTTTACACCCGTCATCTAAAGCCCTGGTGATTATTGCACGTGGACCATGTAATCGTGATGTGATATCGTGCAACCCCACTCTGTCGCTTTTGGTATTAAACCGTTAGTGGCTGTTAATAAAGACAGCAACTGCTATTTTAAAAGAGCTGTTGTCTCAATTATTAAAATGACTCGCACACCTGCCACGATACGTTTATTTGCACTTTGCGTGTGGGTCTGGGAGTATCCTCCGCCCTCTAGGGCTGTGACGTGACATTGTGTTTGTTTTATCTGGACGGCGTTTGAAGTATCCGGCCATCTTATGGGTCACCCTGTTAGGGCCAACAGGACTCGAGTCCTCGTGTTTGCAGGGTACGAATGAGTCGGACCCTGTAAGTGGTTCGCGTTAGCATTAGCATTAGCATCAGCACCGCCACCCCAGGACGCCCTGCTGTCCTTCACTTCGGCATGGTTAGCCTTTAGCATGCTATTAACGCCGAGCCTATACGTTTTGACTTAAAGCTTTCTCTCTCACCCGGCTCCACACAGGCTCCCGCCCCCATGCCGTTTCCCATGACGACGCCTCAAGTGCCTGTGTATGGAATGGTGAGGATCCCCCCCAACCTGTGATGTCACCAGTATTAACTTTAGCCAATATCACTAAACGTAACGAAAATCACTGAGGTGGGATCCCCCCGCTCCCGTCCTGGTGGCTTGTTGGCACCTTTGCTGTCCTGTAAGAGAGGGGGGCTTTAACACAGCACTCCCTTCACAAGCTGGGTCAAGGTGATCCCTGCTGTCAGTGGGCCGCTGCTGACTGTGCTTCCTCTCTGCCTGCAGGTGCCGCCCCAGATGGGCCAGGTGGCTGGGGTCCCCATGCTGGCCCCGCAGCCTCTTGTATACAACCAGCCTGTACTCAGACCCACTAACCCTTTTGCCCCCATCCCAGGACCTCAGGTAACCCCCCCCCCCCCCCCCCCCCCAGTGCCTCACACCATCTGTGCTGGAGAGCGAATCAGCCTTGTGATCCTGGCGGCCTGTTGGCTCTGCCTCTCTCCTGCTTGCTGGGCCCTGAGGCTCTCTCTCTCTCTCTTTTTTCCACAGATCCAGTTCATGTAGTGCTGCCCCCATCCCCCCCCCCTCGCCCCCCTCCTCCGCTGGGTGTGGGGCTGGACGGGAGATGCCAACAGACCAGCGGATGGTGGACGAACAGCAGAACGACACCAAAACCAGGGCAGGGAGCGGGTGGGGCGGCAGCAGAGCAGCCCCAGAGCGTGAGGTGGCCCCACTGACCCCCCCTGACCTCGCTGACCTCGGTCCATGCCTGCTTGTCCGCAGTCCAGCAGACTCGTCCTTTACAGACTTCGTTTTTACATGAGTGGGGAGGGGGAGGGATGGGGAGGGTTGACTCTTGTACGAACGTGGTTGCTGGGTTAGGGGAGTAGTTATGGGTACAGGTCAGTGCTACTTGGGTTTTGTTTTTTGTTATGTACTTGTGTCTGCTTCTCTCCTCGTCCTCCTGTGAGGACCCCGGGGCCGCCGGGGGTCTCAGCCTCCAGGTGGGGGCCCCGAGGCGGGTAAGACCACAGCGTAGCTGCGGCTTGCTCCTGTTGCTCAGGATCGCCGTCTGCCCGTTTCTGCTCTTCCATCCCGCCAGCTTGGAGTTTCCACCTTCGTGGATAAATGTTTGTCGGTAGCGAGTCGGGAGTACCGGAACTGGTTTTTCTGACCTCTGAGCATTTTTTGTGTGTGACTGTGTTTGTGTGTGAGAGACTGAGAGGATACACCTCTGTTGCGATGTCTTGCTGCTGGTCGTCAAGGACTGTGTCGGGGATTGGATGCCCGTTCAGAGTTGAGGACTTCTGTGACCTCATGTCCCCTAAACCGCCTTCAAAGCCCTGTCTAATGGGGATGTTTCTTTACTTTCCTTTTTCATTAGAGTAACTTCCAAAGGGCCTCTGTATGTGAATTTACTCTCCCATCCTTATCCAATAAGGAAAAGGGGCTTCAGCAAAGAGGTGTGGCTTTCAGAAGTAGGTGGAGCTCTAGGGAATGAAGTTGTCAGGTGCTGCTATTCAACATGAGGAACATGTTCTTGGTAATGATAGTCATATGAAAATGGATTTTTTTTTTCTTCTGCTTTTGTCTTGTTCTGGGTGATGCGAGCATGCCCATCGAAAGGGGATGATCTAAAACAGGAGATGTTTGTGTGGCTCACAGCAGGGTAGTGGGTCAGCTGAGAGGATTGTCTGCGAGTGTGAAAATGCCCACTTATTTTGTGGTTTGCCAATGAGGAAAGTGAAACCAGTTCCGTCATCGTCCAGCCCGTGGTGCCGTTTCCATTATGTTAAATCTTAATGGATTCCAGACCGACCTATGCAGCCTGGGAGATGGGGGGGTTGGGGGTAGGGAGGGCCTTGGGGAAGCTCCTGCCTTTTGAGTTGCATGGTCTGTGTTGTGTTGCTGTTTGGATGCCTTTTTAAAACGAAGCATGATGCGTATGTAGTCGCGTTACCTCGTCTAAGTGTGGACTCCTTGTGGTTTACCGACGATATGCTGAACGGATGGCCAGACGTTGCAGTCCAACGTGACGCTCGAGCGCTTTTTGCCTGCTCTCATATAGCTACCTTTCTGACCCATTTGTAGCAAATCTCGTCTGACAGGGTAGCCAGTTCCCGCTCACCGGGTCATACACGACAATGTCATTCACACCACCAGAACAATATGTTGCTGAGATATGTGAGGTGTAGTCGCATCACACATCGTCTTTGCACAGATGGTCAGTTTCTGTATCCAAATGGATTCTTTTGGTGTCTAATTCTGTAGCTCCACCTGTTGGCTACATGGTGTAAGGAATCGAATTGTACGCTCGTTATCTTCTGTTACTCATACCAGTGCTGAACTTTCCGTCCCTATTCTGCTGAGAAGCTTTGGGTCACTGGTTTCCTTCCAGCAGCTGGGCTAGAGATCTCACAGCAGCCTGGAATCTCAGAATGCTCTTCTCCTGGATGCTTTCCTGTCAGATTTGTCGTCGTTATGATTATTTTTCCCCTCCTTGAACTTTTTTGCACGTTTTGGCACCCCCCCCCCCAAACTAGGTTGAATCGAACTGTTGCCTCACATCGTATGTGTGCCTGTGTCATGCAATCCAGTGTTCGAAAACTTGTTTTCTGTGTGTGAGATATATTTTGCTCTTTGTGTGTTTTAAGAATGGTACAGGGCCAATGTTCTGTCTCATGCAGTGGGGGAGGGACGGCCCCCCTCAGCCCTGTCCATCTCTGATGCCAAACGAGTCCTCGGCCAGCAGGGAGGCCGGGCCCGTGCCTCATTCCCCTTTTCTACGTCCTTATTTATAAGAGAAGGAATATCAAGGTTTGAATTAGCAGTGACAAGCATATTGCAAAAAAAAAAAGAACAAAAAAAATCATGGGCTTTTATTTTTATGCATATAGATTTCATATTGGGTCACACACAGTTTTGTTTTTTGAACAAAAGTAAAATAAAGTCATTTGCCATTCCTAAATTGTTTCCTGTGTTTCTTTTGTGGCTGTTGCTCCCTGTGACGGTGTCTGTCAGTGAAGCGGCAGTTAGGTGTGAAGCCTCATGAGAAATTTCATCCTCTGAGGTGTCATACCATTCTGGACTGTTACAGAAATCCATAGGTCTCCTGTATTTCCCCCTCATTAGTTCAATGTGAGCTTATTTCTGAGTCCCGCTGAAATGTAACAGCCTCTGCTCATGCTTAAGTATACCTGTGTGTGTGTGTGTGTGTGTGTGTGTGTGTGTGTGTCCTGCTCGCCTGCGGCTCTTCACGACTGCCTGCGAAGGTGTATGAGGCTTTTCAGGGCTAAATGAAGAACCAGAGGAAAGTGCTACCTCATCCTGTCACCTGGGAAACCGTACCACACGGGCATCTATTTCTGTGACCCCCGCCCCTGTAAATTCTCCCTTGGTTCTCCGGACTTGGCTTTCCGTAGCTACGTGGGAATCTCCCAACTGTCCCAGTCGATCTTCTCTCCCAGTGAGCAGCCCTGTAGGTCAGGAGGATGTCTATGCTGGTGATTTTTCTCTCCCCCCCCCCCCCCCCCCCCACCACATTTTAAGCTGCAATTCTTGTGCCTTATTGCCACCTGGTGGATGTTTCTGAAAGTGCAGCACAAGCATCAGCGTAGTACTAGTTTTTTGACTTAGTAGTACTAGTCAACACTTCCACTTATTTTGCTGTACAGGAGTCCAAAGAGCATCACTGGAAGCATGTCACAACGCGATGGTGTTGAGTTGGCAGTCCTGGGTGTGAGTGTCTGTGTGGCTCTGGTCCTCCTTAGCCTCCCCACTGTCGCAGGAGTGCATGATCATCCCGCCACCCCCCCCAGGCTGGCTGGCTGGCCACTGGAATGTCAGGCCCCTGAGATGAGTGCTGACAGCTGCTCAGTGTGACAGGGGAGGGGTCAGAGCCGATGGTGCTATTTATATCCACCCCACAAAAAGCACCCGCATGGCTCTCCCTCTCTTCCTCTTCCACCGTTCCTCCAGGCTCAGTTTGCCCCTTCTGGATTTCTCCTCTGCCTTCCCTGACATTCCTTGAGTGGTGGAAAGTTCTGGACAACCGGTGAAGGCGGGACCTGAACGCGGAGAAAGAACGCCGTACCTCCCCAGTTGTGTGAGAGTGACACGGGTCCTGGGTAAGGAGTGAACCCTGGAAAGGAGACCTGAAGCTCTGCTGACTGCTGCCATGGCTCTGCTCTGCTACAACAAAGGCTGCGGGGACCGTTTCGATGAGCAGGAGAACGCTGACGGTGAGCTCTCTGGACGGCCAGGGGGGTGGTTTATAAGACGGCTAACCATGCATTTAATATGATACGCTTATTTGGTGGCGATCCCCAGGCCATGTTCGGCCAGACCTGAAAGTATGTCTGCGAAGCGTTGATGTGAAAGCCTCTTTATAGGAGCTGTAGGTGCTTTTAAAGTCAGTACTTGAGATAAGCCTGTTCCGAGGCATGATTCTGGAAGTTTCCTGGTCTTTTACCCAAGCATGCGAGCTGTGTTATAGGTAAGCAGTTAGTGGTCTAAGATCTTTTGTTCAGGACACTATTTGAGGCTTCCGTTGTTTAAAACAGTGTTTTCCTATCTGGTCCTCTGGGATCCCCAGATATTCCTACCGGGAGGGAGGAAAAACGTGGACCTTCTGGGGCTTCCTGAGGACCAGGTTTGGAAACTCTGGTTTGAAGGAAAGGCATTACTGACCATGTGTTGTGGGGTGACACCATTGATAAGGCTTTTGGGGTGTGGGGCGAGGGGTGGGGGGTGGGACCCTGCCAGATTAGGAGATGGGGGGAGATACTAGGCTGGGAGTGGTTCATGTGACTGGACACTGTACTGGTAAGAGTAGGCCGTGTGCTGTCCTGTTCTGCTGCCCCCTTGTCTACTCTGCTCTTCCACGCTCTGTGCTCACGGCTGCCCCCCTTGTCTCTCCCCCCTTCCTACCAGATGCTTGCCTGCACCACCCAGGGGTGCCCATCTTTCATGATGCCCTTAAGGTGGGTTTGCGGTCTGCTGGCCCTGACTGCAGTCAGAGAATGTTTTACGTCACTCGTTCATTTAAATGATTTAAATCTTTTCTCAGGGTTGGTCTTGCTGCAGAAAGAGGACCACAGACTTTTCAGAGTTCCTGTCTATCAAGGTGAAGGACGAATATTCATGAAAGGCCGACTGACTCATCTGTCTAGTGATACGTAACACTTTTCTTGGTGTGATTTGTGCTGTGCTCCAGGGATGTACCCGAGGGCGCCATAGCAACCAGAAACCACAGGAACCACTGCGTCCGGAAGTGACATCAGACAAAGGGGACTTGCAGAACCACAACAACAAGGAAATCATCTATATGGGGCCCAAATCTGCAGAGGCCCTGCAAAAGGAGAGACCCAGGTACCCTGTCTGTCTCTCTGCTAGCAACCGCCCACGTGTATTTCATTTTGTGGCAAAGCTGCAGTTTTTCTAATGGTGTCTTGGTGCCCTACTAGCCTTGATGAGACCAAGACCAAGCTGGCAGTGAAGGTGTCGACCTCATTGGCCCAGGTGCTGGAGAAGCTGCAGATAACCAAGAAGGCAGAGGCACAGAAACAAGGTGAGCATGCCTCAGCCCTGAACTACCTTTGTCTGTCTCCATCTAGTGGTCAAATGCCTGTACCGCATCTCTCTCCTACTCACTTCACCCGGCCCTTCTTCTCACCATCCTCCGCCCTGTCCTCCTTCCTTTCTCCCCCGCAGAGAGCCAGGCTGTCATGTTCGGAACACGGTGCAAAAATGCAGGATGCAAAACAGTGGGTGATCTTTATGCGTGCCGTTTTGTGTCTTTATGGCGGTCAATTGTAATGCCAGCTAAATGTAGGCTGTGGCAGATTTGGTTGAGAGCCCGTTAGGAAACTAGGTCCTCTCCTGATGAAACAGCCACAGAATGTCACCATGATGGATTTAAGGTGGAATGATGGATTTAAGGTGGAATGATGGATTTAAGGTGGAATGCATGCCCACAACTTGTTTGGTTGGTGTGCTATGTTTCACAGGTATACCAAGGAGAGGCTACTGATGCAGAGGTCTGCATCCACCACCCAGGAGTGCCAGTGTTCCATGAAGGGTAAGCCCCTCCCTGCCAGCCCTCTCCCTGGGCCACCCCTCACTCCACAGTATGAATCATCAGTTTACCATCTGATTTCACATGTGCCTCCCATTAACTGACCTATTATTTACACAGAGGAAGGAACTGTAAGTGAATCGTCACTCACAGATAAGCTCCACATAAACAGCGGATTATATAAGTGGATTATAAATTATGTAGCTATTAATTTTCAATGAATTAAACAACCACTTGATAGATCATTCTGAAAAAAAAAAATGACTGACTCCCAATTGTTCCATCTGCAGGTACAAATACTGGAGTTGCTGTTGCATCAAGACCCTCGACTTCAACGCCTTCCTGGACCAGAAGGGATGCACCAATGGCAAGCATCGCTGGATCCCCAAACAGGTACAAGCTTGTGTCCAAACCCATGCCATCGTCTGCGTCAGTGTTTTTCAACCTAGTCCCTGGGAACCCCTAGTCAGTCCACGTCTTTGCTTCTTCCCAGCTTCTAGCACACCTGAACCAGGTATACTGTACAATGTTCTTGATTGGCGGGGAGCTGAGAGGGAGCAGTAATGCAGACTGTCTGGGGGTCTTTAGGGACTGGGTTGAGAGATGCTCTGGAGCTTCTTGTCTGGTTTAGCAGAGGTCCTTGTTTTTAGGAAAGTTCGGTCAGACGCCCACCCCCTTTGCATGATACCTCTCGCTGGTCTAACGGGATTGGTTTTTCGCAGGACAAGAAGAAGGTGGCGTGCCGGTATGACTGGCACCAGACTGGGAACCAGGTGGTAATCACTCTGTACGCCAAGAACGCTAACCCAGAGCACTCCTATGTGGAGGCCAACCGCACCATGGTGAGTCCCGAGGGCCCGACATTAACATGGCGAATGGTCAAAGGATTGGTCTCTATGTGGCGAGCTGTGCGTAACACTCCAGTAATCCTGACACCATCCCCGCAGTTGACGGTTCACATCCAGTTTGAAAACGACAAAGTTTTCCATGCGGACTTCTACCTCTGGGGGGTGAGTCTCCCGGTCTGTCGCTAAGCCTCCTTCCCTCCTCCAGCCTGTAGAGGTTCAGCCAGGCCTCATGTCTTTCCCTTACCGTCACAGCTGACTTTCTGCGTTAACTGCAGCCAGCAGGCTGTGCACATGATCCCAAATCTCACTGCACGCAGGTGATCAATGTCTCCAAGAGCTCGGTCAGCATGGTGCCGACCAAGGTGGAGCTGATGCTGGGCAAGGCAGATGCAGTGGCCTGGGGCAAGCTGGAAGACCCACAGGCCAAGGCAGCGGCCCCCGTCGAGCCGCAGGAGGAGGGCTACGTCGACCCCGATGAGATGCCCGACTGGGATATTGACGACGATGACATTAGCGAGTCCGAAGATGAGGAGCCGGCCCCCCCCAAGTGAGCCGGGGCCTCATTTTGGCTGTACGCTGCCGCTGGGGGGCCTGTTTTGACAGAAGCACGCGACACTGGTGATATACAGGGTCCCCCGGCTACCTCAGTGGGACTGGTAGCAGGATGTGGACGTGATATTTAACGTGCTGCGGGGACACAAGGCCTTGTCTTGGGCATCGTTCTGATGTAGGTGTGGCGAGAGAGGATCTTACCTGTGACTGCAAAGACCATTAAGCTGACTAAAGATTAAAATGTGAGCTTGAGTTTTACTTGTACAAAAAGTTCTGAAGGCAGAAAGGAAAAATGACTGGTTCAGAGTGATAACCAATCATACTGTAGAGGAGGTGGGTCCAAGTGACTACAGGAGACAGGGCAAAGACATCTGATTGGTTGGTCCTGCCTCCTCTAGTTGCTTGGACCAACCTCCTCTACAATATGATTAGTTATCTCTCTGAACCAATCATTTTTCTTTCTGCCCTCAGAACAAGTAAAACAAGTAAAACTCCCATGAGCAAAATGCTAATGTTTGTTTGACGGTTAGTCTTTGCTTTTTTAAGTTGTTTTTTTTTTCCAGCCCAGGGTTCCGGTGAATGACCGTTTACGACTGTGAGGATATTTATTTAGCAGGTCTTAATGTCAGCATACTGTAGACAGTGTATCTCGCTGTTTATAGTACAGCTGTGGTTTTTGTGCCAGCGATTGTGTGAATATGCTGGCATCTGCATGTGAAGCGCAGCAAACTGTACCAGACTGTAATACGTTTGCGAAGGTCCTGCTGAGTGTTTTTATAATTCTGTGGCTTGAGAATAAAATTGTGAAGATTCATGTTTTTTTTTTTTTGTGGATTTTTAGAAAAGAACACAGTGACTTCTGCTCCGTTGCTTCCAACAACAAAAAGGACACTTTATTAAGTTAATTTTTTTTTTGCTTCATGTCAACATTAATAGTCCAGTGGTAAACACGTTATGAGCGAAGGTCTGGATGCGAGTTCGACCAGAACCAGATTGGACCAGACCGGAGAGTCTTGCAGGTCCTGCAGCGCGTTGCCCAGCAGCGGATCAAGCTTATGGTACCCACAGAATCGGGGCAGTGGGTTCCTTAATTTAACCCCACCCACGATGCTCTGACCATTCATTTGCCTTTTTCATGGTAGATGTTGAGAGTTACTCCGCAACACCGCAAATGTAAACGTACAAACGCCCGTCATGGCATTGCCCAGATGTCCAACCCCTCACCTACAGGCACAAGAAAACCCAGAAGATTCAGGGAAATGTGGGACCATCGAGGGGTGCCGTTCTGCCTGCACAGCAAACCCTGTTTTCAGGAGTCGTTCACAATGCCATTGATTTCTCAAGGCCACTCCAAGGTCAATCACCCACTCACTAATAAATACTGCTCATCAACGACAATAAATAAAGCAAGTTCATCGATGCAGCCGGCAGGACTCGACACCTTGGTAATAACAAAGGGTTTCTTAAACAGCCACTATTTCCTTATATATAATATGTATAAATACAGTAATACAGACCTGAAGAGGAACATAGGAACAGATCCACTTCCATGTTCTCATGTCTCATTGTACATAGCAAGAAATCACTTTACGGTTTCTTAAGATTTTTCTTCGAACACGAGGAGGGGATGCAGCACACTATAAACACCTTGGGGGGGGGGGGAAATTGCACAGCACACGAGTCGACATTTTCAGCATAAAGTGCAAGGCAGGGCGAGCCCATGGAAATGGCATGGGGGGGGGGGGCTGCCCCTGACCCCCAGCATCTGGCGTGAATGCGACCCTGGGTCATCAAAGAAAGCCCTCGCAGAGATCTACCAAATTAGCCCCCCCCATCGAGAGTCTGGGACTCTCCGTGTTATGCAGGGGGGGGGGGGGGGGGGGTTGTGGCATGGATGCAGGGACTCTTTCACAGGGGTCACAATCTTTTGGCGGGGGGCCTGGGGACAGAAGCTTAAGCCCCCAGCCCCATGGAGACAGTTTTTGTTCATTGTTGTTCCAGTTGTTCGTCATTTTAATAATAATAAAAAAAAGACACAGATAAAGGAGCAAAAAAGTCGTTCAAGTTGCAGAGGCTTCGTACCGCGGATGGAGGTGCCGCACCCTGCCGAGGCTGGGGGGGGGGGCGGTGACCTTTGTCCGGGGGCAGATGCAGTCTCACGGACGCCGGTGCTCCTTCGCAGCAAGATGAGAGCGACACCTCTTCAATGGCCGACAGAGGACCCCGTTCCTGCCTGTAGGGGGCGCGCTTCACTTCTGGACTTAGTTCCCAGTGGGGTCTGTGTCACATGATCCACCTTTGGATTCCCACGCTGCTGCGGGGAGACGACATCAGAGGAAGCCAGTGGTGAGTCACTCAGGCTAGTCTGGCTCTAGTCAATGCAGGACGGCGCCGGGGGCCACAGAATGGGAGGGGGAGGGGGAGGGGGGGCATCTCACCTGTCAGCGAGCTGTTGGATTTCTGCTTGTGCAGTTTATCCCGGTCCCTCCTCACCTTCGGCATGATCTTCATCTTCATGCTGCTCTTGCTGCCCCCCCTCACCGTACTCTAAAAAAAAAAAAAAACAGAAGGAATGACCCTTCTGGGTACCCTTACCCCTCCAGTATTTAAGAGAACCTAATCCAAAGTGTAATCTAAGGGTAAAGCGGAACCCCAAGTCCCATTCAGGTCCCGCTGGCAGCAATTAACTTGATCTGGAGGGAAGCAGCTCGCCCCCCCACCCCCCAGCCCCCAATACCTCTCAAGCGGCTGGAACCAGGGATATTACAATCAACGAAAACTAAAACCAAAACTAAACGGAAACCATATATACTGCTTCTGAAAGTAACTGAAATAGAAACAAATGTGAAATACTTTCTATAATATGTTATTTTAATTTAGCTGAAGTAATGGTGTTTATCTTTCCGTAATGCAGTATATTGCCTTTAGATGACCGTTAATAATACCTGAAAAACGTTTGCCCATTCTGAGGACATTGGTCCATAATGTGCGGCGTGTATTTATGTAGGATTCGCTAAAGATCTGACGCATAAAATAGCTCTACAACTTTCAATCTATCCCTAGAAATAAAAACATAAAAACATCAGCTGAAGCTAAAATCTATTAAAACTAAATAGTAATATATCTTTAAAATAAAAACTAAAATGGATTTCAAATGAAAACAGAAAATAATATAAAAATTAAAATTAAATATTTTAAACTATAATAGCCCTGGAAGGAATACAAGGTGGGGTGGCCAATCTGAAATGCACGTGCGCACATACACAAACCTCCTCGATGCCATGCATGATGGGACAAATCCAGTGGATGTCGGCTAGCTTCTGTAGTTCGGTGCTCAGGCTCTCGAGTGTAGAGAACAGCGCCTCCTCCTGGCCAGGATCCATCTGCTGTAAGAGAGCGCAGAGCCTGAGAGCCAATGCAGGCAGGCAAATTCCTCATGCTGAATGAATATTTAGTGTCTGTCTAGTCTACTGAGAAGAACATAATCATGTTTAAGGAACTCGTAATATTTCATACGTACTCCGTATAAGATGTAATAAAGCTAAAAAGATGAAAATTTATTAAATTCTGGTAACTGGGAAAGGAGATGGCAAGAGATGGTGTAAAGGAAAGGGGGGTGGGGGGGGGGTCTCTCACCAGCAGGTTCCCATCCAGCAGGGCCTTGGTCTCCTGATGCAGGACTCTGGTGCTGTTCACCACCTCCACGGCTGTGGAGCGACTCAGCACCTGACATACAGGGAGCGTGAGGACCAGTGTTTGGCAGGAAGTGTGTGTGTGTGTCTGTGTGTGTGTGTCTGTGTGTGTGTGTGTGTCTGTGTGTAAAAACACACTCTGTGCCCAAAGAGGCTGCTCTTTGCTTTACATATGAAAACTGTACATTTGTCTTTCTCTGCACCACAGTGTCTCTCAGCCGGCCCTTCAGGACTCCCAGCCAGTTCACATTTTCCCTGCCTCCCAGCTCCCAATGTACCAGGTATTACCATGTTCTCCACTTGCTGGGGGCTTGGAGGGAGCAAAAATGTGTACAGGGACCATCTTCCCAACCTCACGACTTTCCCAGTGTGATTTTTAAATGTATGACATGCAGGGTGTGCTTGGGTGTATGTGTGTAAGAGTGCGTGTCTGGCTGGGGGGGGGGGGGGGGTTTGGGGGCCGTCAGCTGACCTCGGGGCTGCAGGGGCGGCTCGGGAAGGCCTCGCTGAGCACTGATGCACTGGCATTCACCGGATGGGCCAGTTCCTGCTCCACCACCTTGTGCGTCTTGGCTGCCTCCCGGATCCTGTATGTGAAGCCAGTGCCACGTGGTCACGTGACCTGCGTGATCGTGTGACATGCATGGTCACGTGACCCATACAGGGAACTCCCCCCCCCCACAGCCCATTCATGCTGGTAGACTGAACACAAGGGAAGTAGCAAAAAGCACCAGACAGGGAAGGGGATATTAAAATGAATTGCTGTCTGGACATCCAATGTCTACCGTTTTAGCTCTGTAAACGCCTGTGGATTTGTGGATCGGCGTGTTGCTAAGCAACAGGCACCTGGTGATGAGGGCGTCGGCCACCTGGGCCAGCTGCAGCACCTGGGCGCACTCCTCCTCCGTCAGGTACTCCATGGACTGCTGGGAGCTCAGGCGAGGCCGCGCACACTTCCGCTTATCCTCCCAGGACCTCAGGGTGCTTTCAAAAGCCTGCCATGAACAGACACACCACAAGAGGGCGCTATGTGTCAGCTATTCCCAAACACCCCGGTGGGTGGAGTGGGGGGCGGGCTGCATAAAGGGCTCTGAACCCACCCGATCTCGGGTCAGCATCTGGGCCCGGTTCTTGTGGATGATCCTGACAATGCCAGGTGGCTGGATCCATGCTTCTCCGTCCACCTGCACGGGGACGCCCTCGTCACCTAGGATGGTGATCTTCACCTGCCGACACTGCCATGGCAAGACAGATGAGAATAACAAACAAAGGGTCACATCCCATGAACTGTTTACCATGTAATTCAGCTGTTCCTTGGTGATGGAGCATCAGACCTCTTCGTTAATGAAGTTCAGCTTGGTTCATTAACAGGACCAGCTGAGCTGATTCCATCAAACAGTGTTCAACCTTCCAAATGTTCCCTAACTCAGTGTTTCCCAATCCGGTCCTTGGGGACCCACAGACAGTCCACATTTTTGCCCCCTCTCAGCTCCCTACTGGGAGGGAGCAAAAACATGCACTGTCTGTGGGTCCCTAAGGACACTGCCATAGCAGAACAGATGAGAGTGGGTGCGTTCGACTTGGGCTTAGGTCTGTCTGCAGCTGACGTGTCGTGGAGCAAGATCTGTCATCGGCTGCAAGGGTGGAGTATAAACTGAC